GGCACTCTGTAGGTTTTCATTTTCAAAAATTTTTTAAAGCAAATAAAAATTTCAAAAAAATTAAAAATAATAGAGAATTTCAAAACAAGATGATAGGAAATCAACAGAGTTTGTTATATTGCATATTGTTATCTTCAAGTTACAATGTAGTATTACTCAACTATAAAGAAAGGTAAACTTGAGGCTATTATAGGTAAATGGATGTAACTAGATATCATGCTCATAAATAAATCAGACCGATATGTGTAAACATTGTATTGTTTCCCTAATGTAACAAACAAAGAGTAAACAAAATCCAAAAAGTACAATGGATATTGTGAAAGGGGAAGAAACTATTCTGTGAATTTTCTTTTCACTCTGTTGGTTCTTTCTTTTGATGTGCAAAAATATTTTAATAGGATGAGGATCAAGTTTATTCTTTGAAGTACTTCTCCTGCAGTTTGGGTTTTGTTGATGAACTGTCTACCTACCACTATGTCTTAAACATTTCTACCTACTTTGTCTTCCAGTAGATTCAGTGTCTCTGTTTTAGTATTTAGATCTTTGATCCATTTTGATTTTAGTTTAGTGCATGGTGATAGACATGCATCTAGTTTTAGCCTTTGTCCTGTGGAAAGCCAGTTTTTCCAGCACCATTTATTAAAAATAAATGAGGTATGTGAACTTCCAGTGAACTTGTTTGGCCCATTTATCAAGGAAGAAGTGGCTGAGTGTGTTTGCAGTTGTGTCTGCATCCTGTAATCTGTTCCAGTGATCCTCAGGTCTGTCTTTTTGTCAGTAGCATGCTGCTTTTATTACAGCAGCTTTGTAGTATAATTTTCAGTCAGGAATTGTTATGCCTCCTGCTTTGCCTTTGTTTCCCAAGATTGCCTTTGCTATTCTAGGTCTCTTCTGGTTCCAAATGAACTTTAGGAATGTTTTCTCTAGATCTGTGAGGTATGCTAATGGTATTTTGATTGGGATTGCATTAAATCTGTGTAACAGTTTTGGGAGTATGGCCACTTTCACAATGTTGGTTCTTCCTATCCATGAGCAGGGGATATTTTTCCAATTTCTGATATCTCCTCAATCTCCTTTTTCAGTGTACTGTAAGTTTCAATGTATAGATTTTTTTTACTTCTTTTGTTAGATTGATTCCTAAGTATTTCATTTTTTGGATGCTATTGTGAAGGGTGCTATTTCCCTAATTTCTTTGTCAGTGAGTTTGTTATTTGTATATAAGAATGTATTGATTTTTGAGTGTTGACTTTGAATCCAGTTACACTAGTAAATTTGCTTATTAAATCTAGAAGTCTTTTGGTGGAGTTTTGGGGCCTTCTATGTACAGTTTCATGTCTTCTGCAAATAATGATAATTTCACTTTTCCTTCCTATCCTTGTTTCTTTTATTTCTTTCTCTTGTCCAGCTTCTCTGGCTAATGTTTCCAGAATTAAATTCAATAAGAGTGATGATAGTGGAAATCCTTGTATTGTACCTGATTTTAGAGTGAATGCTTTCAGTTTGTGTCCACTTCGTGTGATAGCCACTTAGTGGCTGTTGCTTTGTCATAGATGGCTTTTATCAGATTGAAGTAAGGACCATCAATTGCAATTTTCTGTAGGTTTTTTTTAATCATGAATGAGTATTGGACTTTATCAAAATCTTTTTCTGCATCTATTGAGATGGTCATGTGGTTTTATTTCTTTGGCTCTGTTGAGATGGTGTATTATTTTTTATTGATTTGCACATGTTGAACCATCCCTACATTCCTGGGGTGAATCTCACTTAGTCATGGTAGATAATCTTCATGATGATTTGTTGCATTCTGTTTGCTAGTATTTTATTGAGTATTTTTGTATCTGTGTTCATTAAGGTGATTAGCCAGTAGTTCTCTTTTTGATTGGGTGTTTCTCTGGTTTTGGTATCAGGGTAATACTTTCCTCCAGAAATGAGTTCAGTAAGGTTGCTTCTCTTTCAGTTTCATTAAAGTGTTTGAGAAGTATTGGCTTTAAATCTTCTCTAAATTTCTTGGAGAATTTAGCCAAAAATCCATCAGGACCTGGGCTTTATTTGTTGCTAAGTTTTTAATTACATTTTCAATTTCATTAACTGATAGTGGCCTATTCAGAATTTTTATATCTTCTTGATTCAGCTTTGGCAATTCATTCATTTTCAGGAATCTGTCCATTTTTTCTGTGTTTTGCATCTTATGATGGTGAAGATTTTTGAAGTAGGTATTGACCATCTTTGGAATTTCCATAGAAGCTGTAGTGATTTCATCCTTTTCATTCCTCATTGCACGAATTTCAGTTTTTTCCTTTCTTTTTCTGGATAAGATTGGGTAGGGGGTTATCAATTTTATTTATTCTTTCAAAGAACCAATTCTTTGATTGATTAATTCTTTGTATGGTTTTCTTAGTTTCAATTACATTAATTTCTGCTCTGATCTTTGTAATTTCATCCCTTGTATGGACTTTGGGCTTGACTTGCTCTTCTTTTTCTAGAAGCTTGAGGTGAAGCATTAGGTTGTTTATTTGTGCTCATTCTGTTTTCCTGATGTGAGGTTGCACCACTATACACTTCCCTCTTTGGACTGCTTTCATCATGTCCCACAGGTTCTGGTATATTGTATTTGCATTTTTGTTTGATTGTAGATGTTGTTTAATGTCATCTGTGATCTACTGGTTGTTCAAGAGGGTGGTTTTTTTTTTTGGTTTTTTTTTTTTTTTTTTTTTTTTTTTTTTTTTTTTGGTTTTTCTCCGGTACCAGGAACCAAACTCACGACCTTGCGCTTGCCAGGCAGGCGCTTTTTGCCGCTGAGCTAAATCCCCAGCCCCAAGAGGGTGTTATTTAATTTCCATGTGTTTATGGAGTTTTTGCAGATTCTCTTGCCATTAATGTCCAATTTCATTGCACTAAGGTCAGATACCATGCATGGGAAAATTTCAATTTCTTTGTACTTACTTAAGCATGTTCTGTGGCTAGTATATGGTCTATCTTAGAGAACATTCCATGTGCGGTTGAGAAGTATGTGTATTCTGATGTTGTTGGGTGAAGCACTCTGTAAATGTCTATTAAGTTCATTTGTTTAAAAGTTTGGTTCAGTTTTACTATTTCATTGTTGATTTATTTGTTTAGTTGATCTATCTTTTTGTGACAATGGGGTAGTAAGTTCCCCCATTATAACTGTGGTATGTCTTGTTTGATTTTTCATATCTATTAATATTTGTCTTATACAGTTGGGTGCTCCTGTATTTGGTGCATATATATTTATGATTGTTATCTCTATCTCTTTTCCCCTTTTTCCCCTAACAAGTATGTAGTGACCTTCTTTATCTCATTTGGTCATTCTTGACGTGAAGTTCACATTGTCTGAAAACAGAATGGCTACACCTGCTTTTTTCTGGGTTCCTGTTGCATGGAGTATTGCTTTCCATCCTTTCACTTTCAGTCTATGAGTTTTTTTAGTTAAATGTGTTTCTTGTATACTGCATGTGGTTGGATCTTGTTTCTTGATATGTTCTGCCAATCTATTTCTTTTGATTGGTGAATTTAGGCCATTTACATTGATGGTTATAACTGATACATATTGGCTTATCATTTTCAAGTTATTTTCCTGCTGTTGGTTCCATGCTTTTTTCCTCTGTGTAATTGCTTGCCTTGCCTGTTGGTTTCTTTCTATTTTTGCTCTTGGAAGTGTGGTCATTTTTATTTCTGTTTAGAATATATTTTAGTAGTCTTTATAGGGTTGGTTTGGTGCTCATAAATTTCTTCATTTGTTCTTTGTCATGGAATTATCTTACTTTTCCATTAATTTTGAAAGACAGTTTTGCAGGGTACATCAGTCTGGGTTGGAAGTTGCTTTTTTCAGGACGTGAAATATTTCTTTCTAACTCTTCCTGACTTCAGGGTCTGTGCTATGCTGAGAGGTCTGCTGTGATTCTGATGGGCTTTCCTTTATAGGTAATCTGTTTCTTTCCTCTAATAGCTTTGATATTCTGCTCTTGTACTGAATTTCTAGAATCTTTATTATTATATGACTGGGTGTGGATTCACTTGGATTATGGTTAATTTTATTTCAATATTCCTCACTTATCCTTGTATCAGATTCTTTTCTCTTGCTTGGGAAATTCTTTGGTATTACTTCTGCAGATTTCTTTTATTTAAAGAAAATAAAAATTAAAAAACATTAAAAATGATACAGAATTTCAAAACAAGATGATAGGAAATCAATAGTGATTGTTGTATTGCATATTGTTATCTTCAAAGTAGTTGTTCAGATTACCAGATATAAGCATGCAAAATTGGTGAAAAAATGTAAAAAAAGTAAGCATTAACTGTTCCTTTCAATAAACCAACAGAAATTAGTAGTACAATTATCTTAACTATCTTGTGTATATATTTTTGTTTGTTTGTTTGTTTGTTTCTTCCTTTCTTTCTTTTCTCCTTTCTCTCACCCCAGTTGTTCCTTTTTGGGGGGCAGTTCCCTTTCACAATATCTATTGTACCTTTTGGACTTTGTTTACTCTTTCAATTTCTTACACTAGGGAGACAATATGATGTTTACACATGTGGGTCTGATTTATTTCACTTATGAGTATGGTCTCTAGTTGCATGCCTCTCTAGGCAAGGTTTGTTCTGTAGGATGTCTTCTGTGTGTAAGAATTCCATGTTTTGTATGGTGAGAATTGTTAAGAATTGTGCTCATTTCGGTTTTGTGTACTATACGTATTTTCAGAAAAGTGAAACCCTTATTCAAGCAAAAACTAGCTGAAGCTGTTCAGAGAGAAATCGTTGCATCAGGTCTCTGCATTAAAGCCTGAGGCCTTACTTTCTGAGGGATATGACTACAGGATCCACTGTTCGATGGGCTTCTGAAGCACTCGGAAAACACATGAAGCTAGAGAAAGATTTCCAGTCCTCCTTTGGTTGGTTTACCTAACTTTCTACCGTCTAGAATATTTTATCACCTAAGTACATGGAATGAATTTAACTGGCCAAGTTGTAGTCCCTTGGACAGCATGCTGGTCACCACTGATGTTTTCACTGCTGAGGTGGATAAAGAATGGAAGACAGTGGGGTATGGTTTAATGGGGTGTGGCAACTTGAAAAGTATCTTGTAGTCTGTAGTCAGGCAGAAAATGCTCCAAGTCATGACTATGGCTCCTAGAATCAAGAGAGAGTGATTCTTCATGCAATTACATCTGTAAAACATCCTCAGACTGGCTGAGTCCCACAGCTGAGTCTCTAGGACCTCCAGAGCTTTAGTACCAAAGGCAAAGCACTCCACATGGGAGCAATAACAGTTCCACTAACGCCACTCAAGGTGCCTGCGAGACTCCTTGGGCTCTTCAGCAAGCACTCCACATGGAATAACTAGGCTTCAGGAATTGCCCCTGGCTATCAATGAAAAAATGAGTAGAAATGGAGAGTCTCATGTGGCACTACCATGTGCAGTGGGAAAGTTGAGTGGAAGATTATTATAGACTTACTAATATAGGCTGAATTTTGTCACCCCAAAAATGTTGATGTCTTTGCCTCCAGCACCTGTGAATGATTTTATTTGGAAATGAGGTCTGCGTAGGTGATGAATAAATATGCCGTCATCTGTGGAGGTCGTAATCCAATGTGCCTGGCATCCTTAGGAGAAGGGGATTGGACACAGATGTGCATGCAGAGGAAAGATCGTATCAAGATACCGGTGGAAGTTGGTCATCGATATGCCTAGGGGAGAGGCCTGGAATAAATCCTTCTTTCATGGCCTTAAGTGGGACTAACTTATCTTGATCTTAGAGGTCACCTCTAGAGTTATGAGACAAGAAATTTCTATTGTTTAAGCCACTCATTCTGTGGTATGTTGCAATAGCAGCCCAGAAAACAGCACACTTCATTGTCTTGGTTATTAGAGTTGCTGTAATAAAATAGCATACCTATAAACATAGTTTATGAACAACAGACATTTATTTCTCAGAGTGTTGCAGACTGGAAAATCCAAGATCAAGGTATCAGTAGAGTCCACCTAGTACAGACTGCTTTCTGCTTCAAAGACAGTGCCTCTTCCCTGTGTCCGCACATGGTAGAAGAGGAGAGATTTCTATGTCCCTATTAAAAGAGCACTAATCCCATTCATGAGGTTCCATTCCCTTGAACAAACTAATCACTGCCCAAAACCCCTACCTTCTAATGACATTGCCTTGTCGGGGGTGATCATTCAACATGTGAATTAAGTGGACAGACATTCAGCAAACAGCCAGATTCACTGTCTGGCACCTGAGTGCCTCTCCCCTCCCCTTCTCTCTGCTCTGCACCCGTGGCTCCCTCCTTTCCTTTTCTTACTGCCCTGCACCTGTAAACCCCTCCCCAACTCTTCTCTCTGCCCTTCAGCTAATTCAAACAATCTCCCTATTGTCCAGCATCAGGTCCCTCCCTGGGAAACAGTACACATCTGTGATTTCTCCTTGAAGATGTGGGACAGCAACTGGAATACATTCTGACGTGGATGAGGACAGCCTGTTGCCTTCTGCTAGGCTCTGGATGTGTCGCCAAAAACTCATGTGTTGGAAACTTCATCCCCAAAGTGGTATATTAATGGTATTTGGAGGTGAGGCCTTTGGGAAGTAGTTAAGACTAGATGCAGCCTGACATTTAGAGGCATAGTAACATTTTATAAGCAGAGACAGCTGAGCTAACACACTTACCCCATGCTGTGAGATATCCCCTGCCACACTGAGAAGTAGCAGATGCCAAGGGGATGCTGCACCATGCTCTTCCAGCATCTTTGTCCTCTCATCAGTTTACTGATCACTACTTCTCACAAGGGTGTGAGGGGTAAAGGGGCACCTGGCAAAGGCTGAGTTGAGAGAGCTTGCACACTTCCTGCTCTGCCCTAGTTCCTCTACCCCTCCTGGGCCTCTTTGGTTCCAGAATCAAGGCTCTGCCCTTCTTCAGCCTTAATTCTCTTTCAGCAGCAGACATTGTCACACTGTCTAGGAAGTGTTTTTCATGCAAGGAAGATGTGAGGGACCTGACACAAGGCCACCAGCCCTACTTCACAGCTGTATACCAACACCTCTGTTTAAACCTGGAATGGCTAGGAGACCGTGAATCCAGAAAAAATAACAGGAAGAACATGGGAAATGGTGAGTTCAGTGAGATGCAGCACATCTGGAAGAAGGCTCCATGATAACTCACAGGAGAGTAGTTATTGACCAGCCCGATGATGTATAACTGATCAGCCATCGACCAAAACACTGTGCCCCAGAAGCTAATGGTATAAAAGGAGCCATTTTTCATTTATCATAAGCCCTGGATCACTAGGCCAATCTACTTTGCTGCCCTGTCCTGTAGGTTGGCTAGGCCACTGGCCTTAAGTGCCTTGGTTAGGAGGTCAATCAAAGGGAGCCCAGACATATTCTTACAGTAGAAATGAGTCAGACAAGGCCTCTAGAACCACTGGCAGCACACTTTCACATCTGCCCTACTTTATTAGCCAAATGGTCATGAGACCAAACCAGTCAGAGGGTAAGGATGGGCTCCACCAAATCACTTTGCAGAAGTCATCTGTTAGGGGCAGGAGAATGGGAACAGTTAATCGACCCCATCCCACCCCTTAGGACTCCTGCTGTAGGGCAGGCATTTGTCACTGGGTGCCTGAGTGTTGGGCCAGTGCACATTGTCCCATATCACTAGGTACTGTGCACTGGACCGGCATGTGTTATCCTGCTGGATCCCTACTATTGTCCTTATTTACTGATAAAGAAATAGTAAACTGAGGGGATTTTGATAATTTTTCCCTAGCCTCACAAAAAAGAGATTAGGAATTGTACACAGTATGAATATTCCTTCCAGGAAGGTATAAAATTTCCCTTTCATTGTTATAAACTTAACAATTACCTTTATACTTTTAAATCTTCTGAGAATGTGTACTATTGATGAAAAAAATTCATAGAAGCCAAGAAAACATACATCTTCTTTACTGTGCATGTTTTCCTTCACACCTACTGTTCCTTCAGAGCACACATTGTGGATTCCCTTCATACCCCTCAAGCCTGGAGGAACTAGATTGAGCAGCCAGCCATCCAGCCTCAGCCACAGTATCTTGGAGTCCAAGACTGAGATGCTGAAGCCTACTGCCAGGGGCTCTATGTACCAGGAAATATCATACCACAGAGGAGTGGGCACTGGAGGCCCAGGGACTGGTATGTAAGTGCCCTGTTCCTGCTCCCTTTGCATGCTCCCCATAGCTAGCTTCCTGGGAAAACCACTGGGGCTTTGTGGGACAGCGCTTCTCCATCAGAGTCTACTGTTCCCGATTCTGTTCTCACTCATGGCTTTGCCAGGTCCTGTTACCACTTCAGATAAAGTCCCCATGTTCCATCCATGCAGGAGCTGCCTTCCACCAATGCTTGAATCAGAATTTAGGACTCATGAACATTGTATGTTGCATCCTAGGATAAGCATTTGTTTTATTTTTCTAATACATATATTTATTTTCAATACTTGCCAAAATGTTCTGCAATTAAATAATTTATTTTGTGAAATACACAATTATGAGACTGCCAATGGGTCCTGGCAGAGTGAACAAGACAGCCATTTGAAAGTAAAGCTTCTGGTTCTTGTTCACAAACCAAAACTGGTCAAGAAATTTATCTATTCAGAAAGAACAAAATAGGCCCAGTTTTCACTTCCCACAGTGAAGCAAAGCAGTATTGAATAAGAACAATGAGTACTGATATTTAAGTTGTGCAGATTTGGGAATGTGCCACCACATGCAAGGAACCTGGAGAGTCGGTGAATATGAACAATCAAGACTTTCTTGTTGCAATCTTCATGTCAATTACTTCCTTTAACATATGTTAAGATGGCATCAGTTATGAGCTTTGGGTTGACATAATTATCATTTAAAAGCAAAGTTTTAACAATTGGAATGAAAAGGCTGAATCTTTCATGTACTCCTTTTCCACCTCTCCCAAGAAAACATGCCAGTGTGAATTCTTAGTTAACTCTGAATAAGCTTCACATAGTCAATATAATTTCTGTCAGTCAGCTTTCCATTGCTATGACCAAATAACTGAGGAAAACAACTTAGAAGAGGAACGGTTTATTTGGCTCATAGTTTTAGCGGTTTCAGTGCACAGCTACTAGTGCCATTGGTTTTAGGCATTGCTGAGGCAGAAACATCACGGCAGAAGGGACTGTCAGAAGGAAGCTATGCACCTCATGAAAGGAGTGGGGTGGCCAGGGGAAAATTCTAGACCCCAAGGTCACACATTCATGACTCATCATTTCCTAAGTCTCCATCAGTTCCCAACAATGCCACCGAATTACGAATCCATCATGAGTTAACCCACTGATGATTACAGCACCCTCACGATTCAATCACTTTCTCAAAGCCCCGTTCTTAAACATATGAGACTTTCAGGAGCCCGTTAGCTCCAAACCCAGACAACTCCCATGGAAATCCTATTATTTCTCAGGATTTTTAAGAGGATCATACAAATTTATTTCTTAAAAATTCCAGATGATTTCCCAATGTCAGGAGAGTTTTATTTCTTGCACATACCTTCTACAACTACATTCAGTTATAATTGTTCAAAATGACATAGAGGGTTTAAATTTCTGAGCACTTCTCACATAAGGTATTCAAATGGGAGCTTCAGTGGGCAAATTTTTCAGTGTTTTGCCTGTTTGTGTTTGTGTCCCAAAAAAGCATGTAGTTAAATAAAATAAAAAAGAAAGAGATAAAGACAGAGGAAGAATGAAAGAAAGAAAGAAAGAAAGAAAGAAAGAAAGAAAGAAAGAAAGAAAGAAAGAAAGAAAGAAAGAGAAAAAAGATTAAAGGAAAGAAAAGTAGATCTAGGACCCAAATATTTGATGTGAAAAGTACAAGTGATAAAAATAATAATTTCACTGTCTGCAACACTGAACCAATGGACAAATTTCTCTGATTTCTTATATTCTACAAAACAGCTTCCTTCAAATCTACTTTCTACTTCTGTACTTTACTGATGGCTTTTCCTATTTTTGTTATCACTGTCATGTTTTACAGCTCCACAGAGGCCGGAAAAAAATAAAACTGTCTGTGGCCAATGTACACTTCCAAGTCTCAAGGTGATGGCAGTAATGATTAATCCATCTGCTAAAGCAGCAGGAATTGATATTGTGCAACTGGCCTTGTCACCCAACCCTATTTCCTCCAAATGCCTCTAATTAAATCCTGTCCCATTGAAGTCCTTCTTGATGACAGCCTCCTGTTCATTCAGTCTCCTTACTCTCCTTCAAAATTACCAGTTTGTCCATTTATCCTTGGTCTCAAGAGACCCAGTGCCACTAGTTTCTTTCCTGCTTGGTCAGCCACATGGACACAAGGGCACAGAATTAAAACAGCACATCCCCATACTGTGCGGCAAGGCTCTGGCTGGAAAGATTTGGGCCTGAGAGTCCTTGTACAGCTTGAAAGTCATCTCCAAGTGCTCTGCTCATCCTACCCATTGGGACAACAATGCCACTTTTTTTAGCAGGAGGATGGGGCCACACCCAGAAAACAGAGCACCGAGCAGGAGACTTGGGCCACATGAAGACCTATGAAGCAGACACCACCTAGCCTGGATAGCATAATTCTACTACTTTCCACATGAGAAAAGTCAAGTTCAGCTTGTTTTAAGTCTCTGTTGCTTTAGATTTTCTATTTTTCATGGAACAGCACAGTGTTAACAGATACTACTAGTAATGAAGGTAGAAGTTGGCTTGACACTGCTACAATGGGTTCTGGGGCGGGGGGGAATTGACCATGAGTTAAACAGCATCAATGACCAGGGTTAGTATTCTAAGAGCACCACTGACCACTGCACACAGGGAGACATATCCACATGCAGGCCACTTTTCTCATGTGGAAAGTAGTAGAATGCCTGGGGTCTGGGTGAGCATGGAAAATACTCAGTGAAGTTTGTACCTGGAGGTGAACTAGAAACACTGATGTTTAATGTGAGCTTTTATCAAGGTATCAAGCTGGAGAACAAGGTGCACTTCCACCATTAAGATGGTGCCTTCAAGTTTTTACAACAATGAAGCAATCCAGTCCCCCTTGTCTCCATTCCCTCACCCCTCACCTGAACACACCTGGCCTTGAGTAACAAGTAGAAGCTGGGATCTTAAGGGAGTGGACTGGGGAGAAGGGAGTTTCTGTCCTGTACACTATAGTGCAATATTTAAAAAGATGAAATTCCTGTGCATCTTTTTGCCCTGTCAGAATATCCTTAGGTCACAATGATCCCCGAAAACATCTTTTAAAAGTCCCACATATAACAATGATAATGTCTCATGCCACCTGAGTAAGGGGTCACCATCAGACCCAAAGCCCTCCTAAAGCCACAGGTCAGGAGACAGACAACAGGTGGCCTGAGTCTCCTCACTTTGGTCAAATCCACAAGTAAGGAGCCTGCAGGGCTAGGGACACCCTGGACAGATCTGGTGAGAGTATGCATGTGTCAGTCATGGAAGAAGGAAGAAGCAAAGAGAAGTACAGGGCATGTGTATTCTGGGGGAGAACTAAAGACTATCAGCTGGACCTGAAAAGATAGGGATCAGGTCTGTCACCCTCAGCAATGTTGGGCAGGTGTGATGGGGCCACCTGAGGTTGAGTACCATGGCACACGTGACTCTGTCTGACCTGCTGGAACTGCACCAGGAAGGAGGGAAAAGTTACCCAAAGCACTGTGAAGGCTGTCAAGCAATAGAGCAGTCTCAGAAAAAGGCTTCAAGGTGAGCTTGGTGGAGTAGAAGTTCACCACCATAGCAGAGGGGAAAGAATGTTTCAGGCTCTCAGGAACTATAGGCATGCAGTGCTGAGCTGAAGGCATCTGTGGACAATGGGGGCCCCACAGGAAGACATGTATTAGAATAGCTGTCCCATGGCCGCCAAGGTACCCATAAACACTGAGGTTTGAGAACCATGGGGCTACCAGGAGATCAAGCACCAAGTAAAGCAAGACTACCTGTCCTCCACACATGAGGGATGTATCACATTCAGAGATGTGATTTGAAAAAACAGTGAATATTTAAATTTTTAAAATGTATTATACTAAAGGACACATAGTCATTAGTCTCCCCCAAAATGCTACCCAAAGCTTGAAGCATCCCATTGTTTTTGCCATTTTCTGAAGTAGTTGTGGAAGTCCTCTTTCATGTCTTTAGTTGCACTGTCGTGGCTGCCTCTGTGTCCTGAATCAACTTAAAATATTTACTTTCCATGGTCATTTTGACTTTGAGGAAGACGTAGAAGTCACATGGTGCCAGATCTGGTGAATAAGGTAAATGAGAATGCACCATGATGTTTTTACAAGCCTGCCCTTCTGCTGGATGGACTGGCAACAGCATTCATCATAACTTGGATCATATCTCACACAGACACCCAAGAAAGGCTACTTCCAGAATTGCTTCTGAAAGTGGCATGAATGATGGAATAAGTGTCTTCAAAGTGAGGTGGAACGTTAAGAGAAGGATTAATGGCAATGTCTTATTAATGGTAATAAGCTTTTAAAATTTAAACATTCACAGTATATTTTAATCATACCTCATATGAGAGAAATAAAATAGAAAGTATGAGGGAAGGTATTGCACTGTACCAAAGTTTCAAATGACTTTTTTTTTACTTCAGAGGGCTACTTGGACTCCCCTTGACTTCAGCATTTCCTGGCGATCTCTCTTTTCCTCTATGTGTGTATGAGATTTTTGTGAGGCTGGCAGACAGGGCATGGGCCTCATATTGGCAGGGACTGGGCATCCACAGAGCTGGAGATCATGAATGTTCTGTGTTCCAAACAGAAAGTGATGACTTAATACCTGGGCTATTCTAGAATACATATGATAACTGTCTCTGGGTACTTAGACAGGACACAGAGTGATAAGGGAGTCAACTTGGGTCAATGCACGGGTGCATCAGGCACACCTGGCCAGCAGCAAGTCCTCATTTCCACCAGCACATCCTGATTCTGTCTGAGCCTTTCACAGATTCCTTTTAAAACCAACTGATAAAATGGTGAAATGTGGGTTGAGTGACTCTATTCATTAGGCAGACTCTTTGCTGACTAGACTGCTTTGAAAAACAAAGAATGGTGAATAATTTTTCCAGATGAAAGAAGTTGTCAGTAGGAGGCTGTGGGTCTTGTGCAGTTCAGAATTATCAATGACTTGAATGAAACAGGGAAACATGTGCATCCAACTTCCCCAGTCACAAGATCTTCAGTTCTATGACACTGTATGTAGCAGGCAAGAGTATTAGTCCCTGTGGCTGGAATTATTCTGAAGTAAACATAGTGAGACACAGAGATGAGACATTACAAACGTATAGGCTAGACAGACCCTGTCTAGAATGATTCTGTCCAGTAAAGAGATAACGTGAGCTACATATGTAAACTTAAGTTCTAGAAGCCATGTTTTAAAAGTAAAAAGAAACTGGAGTAGTTAATTTGCCAAATTTTTAAATTTTAATTCAAAATTTTAAAATGTAATTTCATCATGGAAGCAATATAGAAATAAGCAATATTTTATTTTTTAATTAAAAATCAAAATCAGTTACAGATGTTACATGTACAGCATCTCAATTCAGATGACCACACCTGGACTGCTCCTCCCTAACACACTGGGAAGTTCGGGCTGAGAAACTGATACATGTATATCATGGATCACAAGTTGACATAAACTGTTGAATAATACAGTCCTGGTCAGTGCTGGTAACTGATTTGCCAATTATCCACTGCCAAAATAACACTGCGTAAGAAACATCCCCGACGCTTCAGTGCTTCCAGTTCAGAAACTGTGTACATCTACGCATGAGGCCACACTCAGCCAACGTGACTGACTATTCATGTACCGGTGTTCAGTCAACAGGGGAGCAGGTGCTGGCTGGTTGGGAGCACCCTCGGGGACAACTGACCTTCCCCATGGCTCTTCATGCGCATGCACCCTGGGCATGCCTGCTCCTGGGGTGGAGGCTTCTTACAGAGATTGCTCAGGAAGGACCCAGAACCAACACCCTATCACTTTTTCCAGGCTCCATGACAAAGTAAGTCTCAAGCCAAGGTGCATTCATGGAGTGGGAAGCAGATGCGGCCTCTGATGGGGAGATCTACAAGATTCCTCCCAGAACCAGGGTGCAGGAGCCAACTCCTGCCATCAGTGCCAGTGGTCCACTTCTCGTAGGGCTTCAGATGTGCAAAGCGATAGTCAATCTGTCAATCTCCTCCTTAATCAAAAAACAGATTCTAGGCCTGATGATGTGAGCTGCTCTTAAGAGTCTGAATGGTTCAGCCATTGGGGCCATGCTCACTCTAAAGGACTATAGGAATGTGTGTATTTAGTCCCCAGATGAGAAACTCAGGGGACAGCATAGATGCCTCAAATTGTGAAGAGCCGTCATGTGGAAAAAAGAGCTTTGGTCTCAGTTCCCCTAAAGTTCTCTGTGGGTTCCTGTAGGCCAGGAACTATGCTAGATGGTGAGACAAACATAGAAGGAGTGGAGTTCCTACAGACAGCAGTTCATTCAAGAACTGTCTAACAAGCAGGACAGAGCCTCACCACCAGTAATCACCTGCCACCATCAAGTGCGGAAACTGAGCATACCACTTGGGCAGAGGCAGGAGGCAATGTCTTCATGGCTGCTCCTCCCAGAGCTGCCTTCCAGTGCCCTGGGTACTCTCGGTGCTCAGTGCGGGCCTTGTTGTTGTGCAGAAGCATCCTACGGCACTTTAGGTAACATGTCGAGACTAAGCAAAGCCATGAGAACTCATCTTAAAATCATCCCCAGTTTCTAGGTGCTTAGTACCTTGCTGCTTTCCGCTAAAGGGTGGAAAAGCACAGCACAGTTTTAAAATCACATGAGGCAACTGGATAGACTGGAAGTGAAAGAGACTGTGGGTGCTGATCTGTTCAGGTCAAAAGTCCCCAGTGCTGTCTAACCACAAGCCCCAAGAGAGCGCACAGCATTTTCAATCCCTGGCAAATGCATTGTTCCCCAGCCACTGATTAAGTTTTTCTTTTACACTTTCTGTGCAGTGTGTATTGTCACTTACACTCTTACATCAAATCTCTAGTGGGACCAGAATTAGAATCCAGAATTCGTGGGTGTTCGGTTTTTGCAAGAGCACCGCACTGAATTGTCTCTGCTTGCTCACACATAGGAGATACACATGGGGCCTCCAGGGACTCACAGTGGACACTGTGTGAAGACGTGGAGATAACGGTAAGCATGCAAGAAGCACACTCCTTGAGAAACTGTCCACAGCAGATGCTGAGTTCCATCTGCCCCTGTCGAGGCAGTAAGAGGCATGAGACAGGTGTCAGCTCCTGAAAGAGGTGTATATGCAGAACAATAGGCCATAGCAGAAAGTGTAGCTCAACCTTTTGTAGGTAGCTGGACCAGAGTTGCCCTCTGCAACTCTGAGTTTGCAGAATATTGAAGCACAAGGAAGAGGACAGGTCTGTGTACGCTGGGGCTGGGATAGCTGTGGGAAGATAAATGGCTTTGCCTCTGCATTCTTTAGCAGGGTGGCCTCCAGTGAGGTCCACCAGTTAAAGCCATGAGGGGGAGTAGGGAGAAGATAGGAACCCAAGGGCATTAGGGGGAATTGGGCTGGTTTTAGCCCAGTATGAAACTATCAGGGAGCCTCCTCTCTCCCCCGACAGCCCCGTGCTCTCCAGGAGTGACACTGAGTCCAGCCTGTGCATGCACAGGGTGTACCCTTGACGCAAGGTGAAGGCAACTTCCTGCGGAAAACCCCTCTGGTCTGTACACGGCTCTAGACTACTATAAGGTCATCACTCACGGTCCCTCCCACAATACCTGTCCTCATGGCAAAGTAACAGTGGAAAATCCCGCCCGCCCTGTCCTCCACAGTAAAGCTAGGGGAAGGATCACAGTCTCTATCAGTGACATCTCCGGCAGTGAGATGAGGCCCTCAAGGCCATATGTCACAAGACTGCTGAGAATATGGGAGAATGGTCATGAGTAGGCCAGAAGACAGGGACAGGGAAAGAACTGAGCATCTGCTAGCCTGGGCAGAAAGTGATCAGGAAATTATGCCTAATGCTGAAAGACATGCCAGGGCGGGCAGGTAATTGTTACTGCTCTCTAGGGGAAAGACACTGACAGATCACATCTACCAGTTTCTAGGGGGTAAACTGCCCCATTCTGTGGCCAGGGTCAAGCTCCAGCATGATATCACTGAAGCAGGACTGAGAAGTGATGCATAGCAGCCAGTGGTTCCAGCTGTCTGCTTACAAGTTCCCAACCAGAAGATAGAAGACAGCATGTGTGGGAGAAGCTACACATAAGGGCGCATTCCATGGGTGCTAGCATGCTAATCGTAGGGGAAACAGCTCACAGGCAGTGACATAAAATAGAAAAGCTGCTGCTTGGAACAAGAGGGTCCAGAGTAGACAGAAAAGGACCCCAGAAAGCTTAGGGGCAACAGAATGCTCTATATTTTGGTTGTGGCTGTGGTTCCACTGGTATATATTTGTCAAAATTCATTGAAATATCCCTGGAAACAAACGCATTTTCTTGTATGTGTAATCTCAATAAAGTTGATATTAAAATATATGACATCCCTTGAAAGCCCGTAAAGATATCATTGGGTTGGTTTTTGTACCAAGGACAAAGGTGGGAATGAGAGTTCATGACCACCAATCTGCCACAAAGCCTCACCTAAATAGCTGCAGGTGCTGTCAGAGTGACTTTGGAAGCCTTTTTCTCTTTTCTCTTGTTTTCTTTTCTCTTCTCTTCTCTTCTTTCTTTTCTTTTCTTTTTTTCTTTTCTTTTCCTTTTCTTTTATGTCCTTTCCTTTTCCTTTTTTCTTCTTTCTTTCTTCTTTTTCTTGGCTACTTTCATGGTTGCTGTCTTCCCATTTCACTGCATGATGGAAAAAGTAATTTGCTAAGCTGCCCTACTGAGCCTTCTCCCCTGCCTGGCCCTGAGCATCAGCAAGCCCAGCTGGCCCTATATGTCCTATCAGACCAGTGCTTCTGATGCCAGATACAGTATGGTCCAGCTCAGCTTTCTTAACAAAGTACCTCAAAAAGGTGGAGCAAGGAGGAGGGGTGCATTATGCAGCAGAAGTATATTTTCTCACAGGTCAAGAGGCCAGAAGTCCAAAATCTGTATGCCAGGAGGGATGGCTGTCATGTAGGCTGAGGGAGATACCAGCCGTCTCTCCCAGCCCCAGGTCTCTTTGTTCTTGGTGTCCCTCACTTGCAGATGTGTGGCTCCAGTCCCTGTCTCCATCTGCACTTAACCTATCCTGTCTCTTGGTGACTTTTCTTCTTGAGATTCACCCTACATTCATGACTATTTCACCCTGAGATTCGCATCTGCAAAGAGGGCATATTCTGAGGTTCCTGGTGGACATGCATTTTGGGGATCTATAGTCCATAGCCTTCTCTGGAACTCCTGGAGCACTCAAAAGAATCTCAAATATGGAAACTCACTCCCTTTCCCTGACATAGGTCTGCTCTTCCTTGGGAACTGCAGCAGACAGTTTCCCTAGCTGCTCTAGCCACAAACCTTGTTGGTGTCTCTGAATATCCATTTCTCACATCAGATATATAGCAGGTCTCTGCTTTCTGTGCAGCATTTCACAACTATCCAGTGTCCCAAATCCAGTACGTTTTCTCTGCTTCCTACTAGTAACTCTCTGGACCATTGCTCTCACCTGCTAGGTGGTCTCGCTGCCTCACCTTCTGACCTCCACCCACAGAGGGCTGAGATTTCTAACACTATTCAGATGACATCTGTAGTCTGTCCTCAGCCCTTCAGGACAACCCAAATCCCTCCAGATAAACTGTATATTCTCACTAAGACTTACAGGGTTCAGAGACCACTAGCTTCCCATAATGCCCCATCTTCTTGACTGGCTCTTTTCTTTACTGTTTACACCAGTCACCCTGGTGACTGTGCTATTCTTTGAACTTGCTGAGCCCACTCCTGAGGCAGGGCCTGGCTTGTTGCTGGTGCTTTCCCAAGAACACTAGGGTCACCCCTCACCTCCTTAGATTTCTCTGACCATCTTGTTGACAAGGGCTTCTGCTCCATTCCCAGGTCTTATCCTGATGTATTTGTTCCCAGTAACTATCCCTGCCCCATGTCTGTGTGCCCCAGGGTACAAGGTCCAGCAGAGAAAGAGGGGGCCTATTCTGCTCACTTCTCTCTCTCCTATGTTTGGAGCAGGGCCTAGTAAACTGCAAGTGCTCAAAAATATTCACTGAGGATGAATAAAAGAAGCAGTGATTGGCATGAAAACTGAAGTATGTGGGTGTTTAAAAACCTTATCTCATTTTTCTGCAATAATCTGTAGACCCGATCTTGTATCATCCTTTAGTTGATGCATAGATAGGGTGAGGCACAACAATCTGGGGCAAACCAATTTTGTGATTTGTCATCTAAAAAGGGGAAGAGGTTTTAACTTGAAAGAGACAAACAGTACACGTCCTTTTGCAGAGCACTTGGGCAATGCTTCCTTGGTGGCCAGGGAACTTCCTCTCCAATTTTACCTTACTGAAGACCATCTTGCCAAGTAAAACTTTTTAGTTTAACAAAATATACAAAGATGGTTCTGAGAGGAGCTGATCAGGATGATCACCTACATGCACCTCGCCATATTCGCCAACATGCTGGGCCTGTCGCTCTTCTTGTTTGTCGTTCTCTATCACTACGTGGCCATCAACAATCCCAAGAAACAGGAATGAAAATGGTGCTTTCTCCTCCCCAGGGTTCCAGGACGTAGTCTGAGGCCAGATGGAGGGTGTGAGGGACATTCACACTTCACTTCATCCCTTCTGCCCATCACAACACACAGAGCAACTACACCTGGAGTTTTCCAAACAGGTTTTATTTCCTCAAAGTCTTCTTAACCTTATGGAACAAGAAGCTGCCACTAAATAGGTCCCAGTATGAGGGCTGCTTTCTTTTCTACTCCCCAGTACAATATATATATGTAGGTATGTATGTGTGTGTGTATATATATATGTATGTGTATATATATATATAAGTGATGATCCTGGCTATTGGCAGATACACCTCAGGGAAATTAACAGTATCCATAGCAGACTTTGAACTTGCTATTACAGTTGAAATTCCCTCTCTGGGTACATTATCAAAGGGCACAAACCTAAGAAATGGAAATAGGTGAAAAACAGATGTTAAGCAGTATAATGACACAGTGGACAAGTGTCATTGGACAAAGTGACACAAAACTCAGTCAGGCTCTTCCTGAAACACAAAATGCTAAAGTTTAAAAGTCAAGAATAAAGACAGAAGAGCTGCATCAGTACTTGAATCTTGACTCTACTGGGTAATAACTGGGTGATTTGTGGGGACTGTTTAATGTCTCTAACCCTATTCCCTCATGTATGATGATGGGAACACAGTTACCTTAAAAGTACACACTAAACATATAGTACATTTTAAAACTTGAACAGTAGGAAGAAGAGAAGCAAGCAGGTCACCCACGTCATACTAAGACACTGATAACACAGATCTTATTCTATACTGCTCTAATTTGTTGGAAGATTGCTAGAAGAGCCCACTAAACCATTAGCCCCAGTTCCAGGTTGCAGCTGCTCACCTGAAGCTGATGATGCCTTTTGGGAGTCATCTCTTTGGAACAGGGGAAGGAAATTACTCATCCAGGCATAAGGTTTGTAGATACAACCTCCATGTAATGTACACAGTGCCTGATACATAGAAATCCCAAAATGTAGCAAGTGGGCTATGGAGGAATGGAAAACAAAGGAAAACCAAAACACCCTCCAAGAGTTGAGGTGGCTGAAAGGAACATAAGACCAATTCATGACGTCAAGTTCCTATTCTGGTTACTTGACCAAAGTCAAAAACATCTACTCCTGAGTGGAAGAAAGAAAAATCCATGCTCTGTTGTTACAGGGAAGAAAGGACACAAGTCCAGTTCTTACTTTCATCTGAGGTCCTCAAGGAAGCCACTGCCCACTCCATCCCTCCAGATAGAGGTGCTCAGCACAGGCACAGCACTGCAAGGGTCCTGGCCTTCACCCAGAATTGTGTGTTAGAATTCACCTCCTCCTTCCCACTTGTCTGCCCTTGGCTACTCCCTGTTCTTAAGGACCAACCTCAACACCAATGTCTTCTGCTGCCATCAAATTCACCCTAGACAACAGCATGGTCATTACAAGAACCTTGTCTACTCAACCTGGCACTGCAGAATATGCCACAATTATGGCTGAAGGCCAACCTGGGTCCCATAAAAGATTCTTCTGATGCATGGACTCTTTTTATAGGAAAGGATGAATGGGGTCCTATGGGGATCTCAAGTCTCCGATTCTAATCCATAGTGGATCACAGGGTTCTCATTCTAATCTACAGGGTACACCACAGTTCCCACTTTGATCAGCAGGACAGCCCAGGGCTCCCACTCTGATACTTAGGACATTTCAGGACTCCCAATCCAATGTAACAAGGGGCCTGTAGAATCTGGTGTGGTTTACAACACTTGCTCTACAGTTTTGATGGTCCCCAAGTTCCTAAAGTTCAGGCCCTTGAATTTATCAGAACATCCAGTGCTTCCAGGGATTCATCATTCTGCGTGCTGACCACCCAGTCACACAACTTCTTGCTAAGAAAAGGCATTCACCAAGACTGGTATCTTACCAGGGCAAGCACTCAGTCTACCTCTTGAGTCTGACCCACCCTGAGGCAACTCAGCTGTTAACCAATGAAATTAGTGCCTCTTATTCTAGAGGGAGGGTAACATACCCTACTGCATGGAACCCTGCATCCACACCTCCTTCCTCTGTTTAATTCTCCAGGACAGTTCCCACAGTTGAGGTCAACTTCCTCCTAAAGAAGCAAAATCAGTGATGTGGATGCTTCTGGTTACACTCAGGAACATTGCCTCAAGATCTGCATTTTCAGCCTGAATTAGAGTGACAGGGGTAGAAAGCTCAAGTGTAATTTTATAACAAATTCTCTGGTGAAAGGTGGCTTTGGTTTGTTTAAGGCTGAGTGCTGGAGGTTTTTCCAGGACCCCACTCCCTGTTCTACCTCCACCATTCCCATGCACTCATGTTAGACAGAGGGCTCTCCACCACACTTGGCCTTTCGTCCAGAAACCACTACCATGGGCTGGGTGTAATATTCACGGTTAAGTTGGTGCTGCTGGAAGGAGGGATTTCTGCTGTCCTAAGTCTCAGACAAACTCCATGAGCATGGATCTGTTTCATTTTAAAAAGAACAAAAACAAAATAACAAAGACAAAAACAAAACAACACAAAAACTATAAAAGTGATATAGAATTTTAAAACAAGGTGTTAGGAAATCAACAATCGTTGTTTTATTACTTACTGTTATCTTCAAAGTAGTTGCTCAGATTACCAGATACAGGTATGCAAGATTGACCAAACAATTAAATATTAACTGTTTCTTTCAATAAACCGATAGAAATTAGTAGTACAATTATCTTAGCGTGTGTGTGTGGGGGGGGTCGGTATCTCGTCCTTCTTCATTTTCTCCTTTCCCTCATCCCAGTAGTTCTTTACTATTGAGCAGTTTCTTTCCCTTTCACAATATCTATTTTCCTTTCAGTTTTATATACTCTTTCAGGTTCTTACACTAAGGAGATAATATGGTGTTTACACACAGGACTGATTTATTTCACTTATGAGTATGGTCTCTAGTTGCATCCATTTACCTATAAAAGTCTCGAGTTAATCTTTTTTTATAACTGAGTAAAACTCCATTGTATAAAAATACCACACTTTCCTTATTCACTCCTGAACTGATGGACATTTGGGTTGTTTCCAAGATTTTGCTATGACAAATTGTGCTGCTATGAACATTGGTGCACATATATCGCTGTGGTATGATGTTTTTAATTCTTCTGGGAAAATACCCAGAAGGAAATGGCAGGGTTAAATGGAACCTGTAATCTTAATTTTTTAAAGAATCTCCAGACTGATTTCCAAAGTGGTTGCACCAGTCCACATGGCCAGCAAAAGTAGAAAAGTATTTCTTTTTCCCCACAGCCCCTCCAGCATTTGTTGTTGATTGATTTCTTGATGGAAGCCATTCTTATTGGGGTGAGATGAAATCTCAGTGTTGTTGTAATTTGCATCTCTTGAATGACCAATGACGTTAAACATTTATTTTCCATTTGTATTTCTTCACGTGAGAAGTGTGTATTCATCTCAGATGCTCATTTTTGGATTGGGTCTTTGAATTTGGGGGCTCTGAGATTTTTTCAATTCTTTATATGTTCTAGACATAAGTCCTTTGTCTGAGGGACGGTTAGCTAACATGTTTTCCCACTCTGTGGGTTGTCTTTTCACTCTGTTGGTGATTTCTTTTGAAGTACAAAAGCTTTTTAATAGGATGAGATCCCAGTTGTTGATTCTTTGAAGTGCAGTTTGGGATTTGACGAAGATAGATCTTGCAGGGAAGGGCTTATGAGCATCCTGCCCTCCTTCCTGCAGAAGCCAAACTCTGCTTGTCTTGTAGTGGCCCTTGGGCGGGACAAAGCTTACTCCCCCAGCAGCAGAGATTTAAATGCTCTTTCCTCAGGAATTTAAGGCATTTGCTTAACTGACAGAAATAGACAATGAGTGAAAGACAGCACTTAAATCTGTTTTTGAGCCACTGATCACCACCTGCAAGACTATGCCACTGACAGGGCTCTGGTCTCCAGGTTCCTGTCCTGTCCCCAACCCACCTGTAGTTCTAGGAGCACCCCAAGCAAAAGAATAGCCCTTAAATGTGACTTCTGCTATTTGAGGCTCCAGCACTGGAAGTGATGTGCCAGCCCACACATAGGCTCTAGGGAGTTTTTAAACTGTAGCCACCTTGTTCTGCCCACATAGATAGCAGCCACCTCCTTCCTACTGTTTCTGTCAAATTTGGCCTGGTCTGTGCACCCCATCTCCTTAAAGGTGCTCCCTGCTTTTGGTTCAACTTTCCTGTTTGTCTGCCTTCTATACTCTGGAGGACTCAAGAAAAATTGTAGGTTTTACATTTCATCTACATGCTGCTTTTTATTAGGATGGGAGCAACACTCTCGTGGCGCCCTATACTTTATGAAGCAGAAATCTGGTTCACACTTCATTTTAAGCACTCCATGATTCAAGGGGCTATGACAAATACAAACACATTTTGGTAATGTGTCCAATTTCCCTCATTCTGGGGGCTGAGAAAAGTTCAGAAAAGCCAAGGAGGTGACTAAAGGAGGCAAGCCTCCAAGCTAGAAGAGGACACAGAGTCCCCAGGAAAGAAAGAGCACAGCTCATCCACAAAGGCTGGTGGGCCAGGTGGTCAGGTGTGGGCCAGAACCCCAGGAGTACAAGTAGCTAAAGTTACAAATCAAGGAAAGAGACAGAGAGTAAATCAGCAAAGTCAAAGTGCAAGAGTGACACAATCCAGAAACCCATCTGACAACTGGCACTGGCGGCTGTCTCTTGTGTATGCAGGGTATAAGGCTGCTTCCCTCCACTGGGTTAGCAGGGAGCAAATGCTTCACAGTCCATGGAGAAAGACAAGGTCCACAGACATGCCCAGCACCAGGCAAAGCTATCTGTGATGGGCAGCATGGCACCTTTCCTCTGCTCCTCAAGGAGCTCCAGCTTGGTTGGTAGGGACCAAGGTAGGGAATAAAAAGGCCACCACCTTCCTTCAAGCAGGTAAACTCAGGAATCACAGGGCTGTCTCTGGGGTCCTCTGTGCAACTCCCCATTTCAGTCAGCATCCCAGAGTCATATTTCTGAGTGGAGGAAAGTGGGTGTTTCTTACCTGCAGTGTACAGACCATCACCTGTACCTCATAAATT